AATCTTTAAAGATTTGCCTATTCTGGGAATTTCATATGAATGGTATCATTCAATATGTGATCTTTTGTGACTGACTCCCTTCACTTAGCATGTTTTCCAGGCTCAACCACATTGTCACATATATTAATACTTTATTCATTTTATTGCCAAATAATGTACCATTGTATGAATAGGCCATATTTTATTTTTTATTTTTATTGATTTCAGAGAGGAAGGGAGGGAGAGAAACATCAATAATGAGAGAGTATCATTGATTGGCTGCCTCCTGCACACCCCACACTGGGGATTGAGCCTGCAACCTAGGCATGTGCCCTGACTGGGAATCAAATCATGACCTCCTGGTTTATAGGTTGATGCTCAACCACTAAGCCATGCCAGCTGGGCTGGGCCACATTTATTTAGCCATTCATTAGCTGATGGACATTTGAGCTATTTCCACTTTTTGGCTATTCTGAATAATGTTGCTATAAATGTTTCTGTATATGTTTTTTGTGTTGGTATGTTTTACTTTCTCTTGCAAATTTCACCTACGGGTGGAATTCCTGAGTGAATGTTTAACATATTGAAGAATTGCCAAACTGTATTCCAAAGTGGCTGCACCATTTTGCATTCTTACCAGTAAAATATAAGGGTTTCAATTTCTACACATCTTTGTCAGCACTTATTGTCTGTCTGTCTTTGTTTTGTTTTTAATCCTCACCCAAGGATATTTTTCCATTGATTTCTAGAGAGAGAGTGGAAGGGAGGGAGAGACAGAAAGAGAGAAACATCCACCTGAGAGAGACACATCAATTGGTTGCCTCCTGCACACGCCCAACCTGGGCCTCAGGGCCCCAGAGCCCCAGGGGATCAAGCCTGCAACCCTTCAGTCTGTAGGCTGAGGCTCTATCTACTGATCCAAATGGCTAGGGCTTGTCTGTCCTTTTTATAAGTACCGCGCGCTAACCGATTGCGCCACTGGAGCTCCGCGTCTGTCCTTTTTATTACCACCATCCTTGTGTGAAGTGGTATCTCATTTCGATTTTAATTTGCATTGCCCTAATGACTAATAATGTTGAGCATCATTGCATGTGCTTATTAGCTATTTGCATACTTTCTTGGGAGAAATGTCTACTCAGATCCTTCGCCCATTTTTAAACTGAGTTATTTACCTTTTAATTATTGAGTCGTAAAAATTCTTTATATATCATGGATACAATTTCCTCTCATTCTGTGCACTGTCTTTTCACTTCCCTGATGTTATCATTTGTAGCGCAAACGTTTTTTATTTTTTTATGAAGTCCAATTTATCTATTTTTTGTTTTGACTTTCTTTATTCCTCTTTTCTTCACTACTTCATCCCTAAGCAATAACCCATGCTCTGATCTTTTCCTACTTATTCTTATTTCTAGAAATCCAGGGTTTATCCATGCTGTGTCCTTTTCCTTAAAAACCTTGCTGAGCCCGGCTGGTGTTGCTCAGTGGTTGAGCGTTGACCCATGAACCAAGAGGTGACCAGTTGGATTCCTGGTCAGGGCACATGCCTGGATTGCAGGCTTGATCCCCAGGAGGAGGCGGGCGATCAATGTTTCTCTGTCCTCAATGTTTCTATCTCTCTGTCCCTCTCTTTCCTCTCCATAAAATATATATTGATATATTGATATTTAAATATATATTTAAAACCTTGCTGAGTAAAATAATAATGAGTCCAATCTAATTTAATTGCATTCATAAGCAAAACATTTCCATTGTTAAAAAAATTATTATTCAGTGCCTACCACATATAGAGAATTTGAAAACATTTTAGAAACAGTCTTTAACTCTTAGGCACTGTAACAGTTAGCTCAATGTCCTTGTTGCTTTGAGTGATTAACATCCTTAGTAATGGTGTTTCAGTTACATGGACAGTCTTGTATGAACTCCGAGGGAGATTTGTTATTTGTGATACTACAGGGGGTTAGCCATGTATTCCTAATATCGTGCACCAGCCAATGTCAACATTTAGAAAGATGCCATTTCTTGCAAGATTCAGTTCACCCCTCTAGCTATCAAACCAGACACACCTAAAAGACTCCTTCATATATCTTAAAGATATACCTCTCACAAACAGCATTTCACAATAGAAGTATTCTAGTAGATAGTGTTTACAATATTTTGCACATATCCTGAATTATATTTCTCCTAAGTAATTGTACAAAAAAAATCCCAAACACTTTGATTTATAGTATTCTGGTTCAAAACTATACAGATGGTAAGTTTATCCACCAGCCGTATGGTTCCTCTAAATACCACCAGACTGGATGTAACTGAATTCCTGTTTGAGTTGGACTATAAAACTGAAAATCTATTGATCTTAATTAGTCAGAGGTATATTGAAAATGTATATTTATACAAAGTATGTTTAATGTGGTTAATTTACTCCAGCTTTACTATTATATAAGGACTACTAGAAGTAACTGACACTCTTTTGGGACTTTTCTAATAGGGTGATAGTGGTGGACCATTAATGTGCTACATCCCAGAACATAAACAATTTTTTGTTATGGGAATTACCAGTTATGGATATGGCTGTGGCCGAAAAAATTTTCCTGGTGTCTATTGTTCGCCATTCTTCTACAAAACATGGCTGACCCATCACCTAAACCGGGCAAGGAATAAAGGCATATTCAACATAAACAGTCTACTTGGACAGGTCCTTGTCGCCTTAGGCTCTGTTGTCTTACTAGCAACTCCATGAAAATATTCTGAAGAAGCTATATTTTCCATAATGTCCCGTCCCATGTTCTACATAATGAAAATAGTTTATTCTTTGGGCAAGTTATTGCCCACTTTTGAGTTCTTATGTGGAAACTTTTGGGGGAATAAAAAGACTGTGACATTGTAGATATGTGATTGATTGTAAATTTGGCACAGAATCACATGCATCCTTGATGTATCTTGATTATTTTACTTTATAATCATAATTTTTCAATTGGAATACTTCCCTAGAGTTTTTATTAAATATTCAGCTTAAATATATATACTTTATGTATGTACACACCAAATAATAAAGAATTTATAATCAAAATGGAAGCTGTTCTTTGGTTTAATTAAAATTCTTTCCTTTTAAAGTTGAGATTTTGCTTCCCAGCAACTGTTGTCAGTTTGGTTCAAATGCACTCATAAAGGAAAAATAAATAAATAGATAGATAGATAGATAGATAGATAAATAAAGTTAGACTTTTTATTTTATTTTTAATTTTTTTAAATCTGAACAATAAATATTTATTTTAAAAAAAAATCTAAAGTGAGAGTTTGACCAATGGAAGTAGGTACTAAACTGCATTTCTCTATTTAGCATAGTGAGTAAGAGCATTTATAGTTAGAACCTTGTTAGCTATGTGACCTTGGACAGGTTGCTTAAACCCTCTGTGCCTCAGTTTCCTCGTCTGTTAAATGGGGATAATAGTAACTATTTACAAGAATGAATGCAGGTGAGTTCCCTAGAACTACTTATCAGGTAATAGACATTTAACAAGTATTATTATTATTATTATTGGTATGGTCATAAGTTGCATTGCAGAAATGGGGGTGGTAGGGCATGGATGCTCACGTTAATCCTCATAGTAGTGTGATTACTGAGTTAGTATGAAGTCAGACAAACCCATATCTGCCACTTACTATGAAGGTAAATATCTACATGCATCAGCCAGATGTTTTTGGCTATAAGGGACAAAAAGTTATATCAACAATAAGAAAAAGTATCATCTCACATAACAAAAAGCCCAAAGGTCAGGTGGCCTTCTGTAATGGCTAATCCGAGAGCTGAATCTGGTCATCAAGGACCTGGAAACTTTCCCACTCTCTATGTGGTTGAGTTTCTCTTGTGGGTACTAGATGCTCTGGCTTCTCATGGTAATTGAGGCCACATGCCTTATTTTGCATATCAATAAAAATATATTTTATTGATTTCAGAGAGGAAGGGATAGGGAGAAAGAGATAGAAACATCCATGATGAGAGAGAATCACTGACTAGCTGCCTCCTATACACCCCCCAGTGGGGACCAAGCCTACAACCCAGGCATGTGCCCTGACCAGAAATTGAACCATGACCTCCTGGTTCATATAGGTCGATGCTCAACCACTGAGCCACATTGTCTGGGCTAGACTATTTTATTTAAAAACATTTGTTTGTATGATACATTATTTTTTTGGAATTATCTGGTTCTCAAAAAATATTTGGAGAAAAAACTTTTTGCCTATTTAAATTCTAATTAAAATTATTTAATATTAATACTTCCTCCCCTATGTCAAGTGAGAACTGTGGTGCAGACACATCCAAATAATTTACTTTTTACTTAGAAATGTATAATATAACTTTTGCAGCATTATAACCTACTTTCTAAAGCTTATTTTCTTGAAGCCCATGCTAAAAGTTTGTATTCCTTGGGCTCTCTGAATTAACCATAAGAAGAGGTGACTGAAAAGCATTCTGGGTAAAAAAAAGGAAGCCAATAAGGGGTAAATTTTATGACTAATGTATAAAACAAATTTTCAAAACAAAAGAAAAAGTTCACTGAATTAGTATCTACTATTAATCCACTGACATCTCCCTTGACCTTTGGGGAACCCATGCAGGAAAGGAGAAATCATTATTTCTCTTCCTTTTTACATTTAACCAGCTAAAACCAAGCGGGTTTTTTTGTTGTTGTTGCTTTGTTTTGCTTTGCTTTAACCATATTTCAGGATTTCACTGAAAATAAGCATGAGTTTTCCACCTACTAATTCCCTTCAGGATCATTACTGGCTTAACACAAGGGGTAGAAGACTGATTTTTATAGATTTGTGAGCAACACTGAGGGAATATTGACTGTTCTTCCTTGAAAGAGACCCTAGATTGATTATCCATTGACAAGGTCTAATAAGGAATTAGCTGGTAATGCTTGCATAGCAATCAGCATAATGCATTGATCTTTTCCTATTTATACAACCTGAGTATCATTCAGATTCACCTGATAGCTCTGAATATCAATGCTCCTCCACTTCCAATGGGGTTACCTCCCGACAAGCCCACTGTAACTGCCTTCCTCTTCTCGCCAGGAGCAGGTGAATCAGATGGCATTTTTGTAGACAAGATGGAATTCACAGACACAAAACACAATATCCAAATAAACGCTGGCAACACAGGACACTGAGTGTTGCTTTTTACCCTCCTGATCAGGTGGCTGACTGGGAGATGCCGCTGCCAAGCATCACAAGAGAGTATAATACTGCATACCACTAGCCCAGAAAAACACCAAAATTCAAAGTACGGTTTCTGTATTGCATTCACATCATTGAAAAGTCAAGAAATCGTAGTCAAACCCTGGGAAGTCGGGACATCGGTACTAAGAAACTCTTCAAAAATCTATTAGCAGTGCCCTAGCCAGTTTGACTCAGTGGATAGAGCGTCAGCCTGTAGACCAAAGGGTCCCGGGTTTGATTCCAAGCCTGGTAGCAGGCTCCTCCCTGCCCGGGCCCTAGTCAGGTGTGTGCAGGAGGCAACCAATGGATGAGTTTCTCTCACATCTGAAACTCTAAAAAAATCAATGGAAAAATATCCTTGGGTGAGGATTTAAAAAATAAAATAAAATGTTTTAGCAGCACTGAAGGGGAAGGTCTTGCTTTCTACTTCAAAGCTATGTACTAATTACTTTTTGGGTATGTTTTTTTTTTCTTAAATGTATTTTTATTGATTTCAGAGAGGAAGGAAGAAGGGAGAAAGATAGAAACATCAATGATGAGAGAGAATCATTGATCAGCTGCCTCCTGCACATCCCCTACTGGGTATCGAGCCCGCAACCCAGGCATGTGCCCTTGACTGGAATGGAACCTGGGACCCTTCAGTCTGCAGGCTGACGCTCTAACCACTGAGCAACCAGCTATGGCTAGGTATGAATTTCTAATCAGGCAGGAGCTACTACCAGCAACTTCTTATCTTTTTGCCCAGCTTAGTTCACTTATTTCATCCAATAGGAATTCAGTTATTTAACATGTCTCTCTACCACAAGAGACTATTACATATAGATGTTGTAATATAAGACAGACTTTGTTTCATATGCCAGTCTGTAACTTAGTAGTTATAAGAATTTAGACAATTATTAATACCTACTTATAGCACTGTTGTAATTATTAACCTATTTTATTATACAAAGTTAATATATTGAAGATGCTCAATAACTGGTTACTATACCCCATCCATGATTCACATGACCCTTTTCATTATGTCAATCACTATGCTATTGGACAAATCTCATTATTTTCATCTGAAAAACTTACTGGAACAAAATGCTTTTATTACTTATATACTCAAATTTGAAAATATACTCTTTAAAAAATGAATTTTATTTTTCTAATTATCAAAGTATTATAGCCTCGTTATTAAAAACTAAGAACAGAAAAAAATAGAAAGAAAATTGTTCATAGCTCTACTATGCAAAGAAAGCTACCATGAATTCTGATATTATACTTACATATGAGTATGTATTATTTTTGCAAACTCTCCTCTTCCCTCCTCCTCTCTCCTCCTTCTCCTTCATCATCCCCTTCTTCTTCATATTCTTCTTTTTTTAACAAATTCTTCTGAAGTATTATTTTAACCTGGAAATTCTAATCCTATAGAAAAGTGGAAAGATAGTACTGTGATTGCTCACCTTTATTCTCCAAATAACATCTTGCCCTGTTTTGCACGCTTTCCTTCTCTCTATATACACATCCAGACTCCCCGCTCCTTTTAAAAATATATATATTTTTTTATTTCAGAGAGTGAGGGAGAGGAGGAGAAAGATAGAAACATCAATGATGAGAGAGAATCATTGCTCAGCTGCCTCCTGCACACCCCCAACTTGGGATCAAGCCCGCAACCCAGGCATGTGCTCTGACCTGAACTTGAACAGTGACCTCCTGGTTCATAGGTCGATGCTCAACCACTGAGCCACGCCAGCTGGGCCCCCTCCCTTTTTTTGATTGAACAATTTCAAGTAAATTACTAATGTCATGTTACTTCATCCCCAATACTTTAGCATGTATCTTCTAGGAACAGGAACATAATCACAATACCTTTATCACACTAAAGAAATTTAACATTGATTTATTAATAATAATATCTAATATAGTCTTTATTCAAATTCCCCTGTCTCAAAAATGTTTTTTATAGTCCCCCACGCACCTTCACCCTAGGATCTATTCTGGATTCCACATGTTACATTTGTATTTCATGTCTCCACAATGTCCTTAAATCTAAAATAGTCTCCTTTCTTATTTTTTTCTTTTTTGTCTTTTATGAGTGATAGAAATCCCAAGTCAATTCTCTTATAAAATTATCTATATTCTGAATTTGTCAGATTAAAGGTTTCTGACAATGATACTACTTCCTACTGCATTCCATCAAAAGGCAACACACAATGTCAGTTTGTCCCATTGTAGTTAATGCTCTGTTTGATCTTTTTGATAAAGTGATTTCCATAATATTTCTTGCCCTACCAGTTTGGCTCAGTGGATAGAGCGTCAGCCTGCGGACCCAAGGGTCCCAGGTTCGATTCCGGTCAAGGGCACGTACCTTGGTTGCGGGCACATCCCCAGTAGGGAGTGTGCAGGAGGCAGCTGATCGATGTTTCTAACTTTCTATCCCTCTCCCTTCCTCTCTGTAAAAAATCAATAAAATATATATTTTAAAAAAAAATGCAATGTACCTAGAACAGTCAAAGCAATTTTGAAAAG